TGCAGAGGTGCAGTGTGGTACCCCCCTTCCCCTCCCTGCTGCCCCAAAATCTCTGCAGGGAGGCACAAGGGGAGATATCCCCCAGCCACCAGTTCTGGGGGCTTCACTCCAACACACATGTGATGTGGTGGGGGTGGGGGGACCCTTTAAGGGGCTGGTAGGTGAGAAATGATGCTCGGGCCTGGGCAGGATGAAGCTGAGCTGGTCCTGGGCTGGGGAGGTGGTTATAAAAGGGGCAGGGTGGGAGCAATAGGGATCTGGGGCAGGGAGAGGGGGGGGAGTGGGAGTGGAGCTTTGGTGGGCTGGGGGCTGTGTCTGCTCCTGGAGCCGCTGCCTGAACACTGAGACTTCAGCACCCGTGTGGATTTGGGGCTCTGCAGGTTCTAACCCCTGGTTTGCTGTTGCAGGGGGCAACATCTGCACCACCCGTGGGGTGAACTCCTGCAAGCAGTGCCTGGCCGTGAGCCCCCTCTGCGCCTGGTGCTCGGCAGAGGTAAGAGCTGGGGGGAGGCTGAGGCAGCCCCAGCAGGGCAGGGGGTGTGCTGGAAGGGGTGAGCCCTTGGGCTGGCTGGGGGTGCCTGTCTCACAGCCCCAAGCTCGGTCTCCATCTTTTCCCACTGTGTCTAAACACGTTTCTTGGTGGCATTTGGCTCTGACCCCAGCTCAGGATGCCCATGGTGGGGCTCAGGCTGCCTGTTCCTGCCCTGCTCTGAAAATCTGCCCCTTATCTGGGTGCCTTGGTGGGAGCTGCATGAAGCTGGCTGGGAAATGCTGATGTTTCCACTGGGAATTCACTTTGCCTTTCAAAAAAAAAATGTGCATTTGAGAATTTAGTTTACTTTTGGTTTGCCTCTCAAAACCCTGTTGTAAAAGTCTGGCTCAAGGGCTTTAATTCGTGGAAAGGGAAATGGGCCTGGTGGGAGGAAGAAAAAATACTGATTAGATGCTAGAGTTTGGGTTAAAAGCTTTTTTCTCATTGGAAAGGGGGGTGGGGGGAAGGTAGTTTTGGTTATTGAGCTGAAGAGGGTGTGAGGGCTGAGCTGTGGATTTAAAATCACCCCGTTTGGGTGGGTGAGAGCCTGGAAGGGCTGCCAGGGTCGGGCCCTGGGTGGGGAAGAGGAGGAGGAGGGAGATTCCAGCGGCTGGGAGAGCAGCCCCAGGGCAGAGACCTGGGGAGGTGGGGCTGGGAGGGGGAGAGGTGACGAAACCTCCTTCAGGGCTGGGCAGCAGGAGCAGCTCCCCCCCAGCAAGGCTCTTGCTGCTCTCTGCTCCTCCACCCAAGAAATCCTGCTCCCCCAGCTGCAGCTCTGCCCCTGGTGCCCACTAGGACTGGGAACAGACCTGGGGGAGAAGGGATCCAAGCTGGAAAACGCTGCTGGCTCCTGCCTGCGGGGCTTGATGGAGCTGGAGGGGGTGATGCTTCCACTTGCCCATCAGACACCACCAGGGGCTGGGTGTGGGGGGCAAATAAAGATGCTTGTGCCCCGTGTTATCTCCAGCAAGGAGGGGCTGGAGGCTGCAGTGCTCAGGGGCCACGCTCCTTCCCAGCCCCTGATCCTGGGCTGCTGTCTTGATGCTGCCGTGGGGGCTGCGATAGGGTTTTATTTTTCTTCCAGATCAGCAAAGGTTTCCAAAAAAGGCAATATTTCCAGTGCTGCTCAGGGCTGTGCTCCCGGACAGACGTGAGGAGCAGTGCAGGATCCAGCCCCCAGAGGGCTGGGCTGTGCAGGCCCTGCCTCCAACATCTGGACCACATTGTCTTAATTTAGCAAATGAGGGTTTTTTTCTGTGGGTTTGTTTAATTTCCCTGGGGTGAGGGAGGTCTCTGACACTGCCCCCACTTATTTTTTAAAGGGACAGGGTCTTTATTCGTGCTCCTTCTGCTCCCAGTGCAGCCCTTTCCCACCCACGCTGCCTTCCCAAGGAGCCAGCCAGGGGTTATCAGCTACTCCTGCTCCATCCTGGCTTGGGACAGGAGAAGGATTTCATTGCAGCTTCTTGTGACACTGATGCAGAGGAGAGCTGAGTTATATTTACTTTTCAGAAGCCTTGACCACTTTTACCAACAAATAGATGTGCCCAGCCACACACTTTTCCTTTTGGAAAAAGTCAGCCAAGCCTTAACACCGATGCTTGGCTCTAGAATCACTTTGGGGGTTGTTGTGGCAGATCAGGGACATCTCACTGGAGTTGCTTACAGCAGGGGGGTTGGACTAGATGACCTTTGGAGGTCCCTTCCAACCCAAACATTCCATGATTCTATGATCTTCCAGGGTCTCACCCACTTGGAGGCAAGGCTGGGCTAGGGTTGGGTTTAGAAAAGCTGCTGGAAGGTTTTAGCTGGATCTGCAGAGGTCTCCCAGGAGCTCTCCTGCAGAGAAGCTGCTGCTGCTGTCTGTGGTTGCTGCGAGATGAGAAGGGAGATGTGCTGGGAATGTGCCACTTCCCACAGCCTCCCTGCCCAGCAGAGAGGGAGGCTGGATGGAGCTGGATGGCTGATGCTGCCAGGGAGAGGGGTTTGCAGGGGGTGTGTCAGGGGATGGCAAGGTCCCAGCGCTGTGAGTGTGTCACCAGCACAACTGGGCTGCCTGGGGGTCACTCCTACCAGGGGCTGAGTCCAAGCCACCGAGTCTGAAAGTCTATGAAGACTGGAAAAAAAAAAACATATTTGGGGCTGGGGCTGCAAGTCCCTCGTAGCCAAAGGTCCTGTTGAGAGCACAGCAACTTCTTCCTTTGCCTTTTGCAGCAGTTTTGTTGCCTGGGAGGTTCTTGTGCATCCCAAGTCAATCACAATATTTGGGGCTCCAGGGGAAGGGGAAGGATGCAGCCTTGGGGTTCAATAGCACCTCCATGAGTATCTCAAAGCAGGGATGATGCTGTTAATCCCATAAGGTGCCACGTGGCCTTTGAGGTCCTGGGAGCTCCCCAGGATCTCCAGGTATTAAAGTGTCAAAACCTGTCTGCCCAGGCTGCTTTTCACCCAGGTATCTTTCCAGTGATTTCCCTGCCTGGGACAGGAGTGTACGTGATGCTTGATGGGATCTGGAGCACCCCAAGTACCTCTTCCCCCAGCAGGGACAAGCCTGTAGAGAGGGTGGGTGCAAGGGAGCTAATTCAGGGGGATGACTCGTCCTCTTCACTGACAGCATGCTGTGGGGCAGGAGGCCGTGGGGAGGAACACGCCTGCTGATGTATTTTCTGGCTATGGCTTGGCCACTGTTTCCAGAGGGCCTTGGGCCAGTCGGGGCCTCCTGACACTGTTTGCATTTTTCCCACTTGTTTGCTTAAAACACGCAAATTCAGTCCTGGGTTCAGCCAGCCTGAACCTGGAGGAGCCAAGCTCCTGGATGGGGAACCTCTCCAGCGCTGGCAGGCTGCAGGGTTGGGATCCAGCTCCCCAGGAGCAGGGAGGGAGCAGAACCAGCCTCACCGGGCAAGGTGCCACTGCTGTTTGCTGCAGGGAGAGACTGTGCAGGTCATCTGCTGCAGGACTTTGGATGTGGAAAGATCTGGGCTCTGGAAGGGAGATGGAGAAATCCCCTGGAGGGGAGGGTGGCTGCTGCCTGGCCAGGAACTCGAGGCAGCAGATCCTGGCAGCGTTGGGCTGGGAGAGAAATTCTTCCCATATTTGTCTTACATGAAACCCAAGTGACAGGAGCACTTCTGAGCCCACCATGATAAGGGTGAGGAGCCAGGAGCTTTCTAGGAAAGGAGAGATGGGGCTGGAGCCCCACCGTGACTCCACACTTTGTGTTTCCTGCCCTTGATGGCTTCTCCTGCAGCCTCGTTGCCTTGTTGCTCTTTCACTCCTTTTTTGGTTCTCCTCTCCCTGTCCAGCTCCATCCGGCAGGAAGCTGGAGAGCTGGAGATAAGCCTGAACCATTCTGGGACAGGAACTGAGCACTGCTCCACTCCACTGGCTCACCCACAGCAGGGCAGCTCTTTGCTCAGGGCACGTGTGGAGAACACGGGTGGAAAAGGTGGTTTGTGTTTCATCAAAGTTTAGAAAATAAGAGTCACAAACTCTGCCTCTCGTCCCCAGACCACCAGTGTTCACATCCTGCCTCACCCTCTTCTGGTCATCCCACACAGGTGACCACTCCCCCTCCAAAAATAAACCCCAGGCCTCAGGCTGGGCAGGGACACGTTGTCCATAGGGGCTGCTGACCTCCCTGTGGAGCACAGGAGACCAAAACCTGCTCTGAGCTCCACCAGGACTTGCTGTCCCACCTCCCTTCAGCAGAGACCAGGTGCCCCAAAAAGCCTCTTAGGGTGGTCTTGCCTTAGATGTGGTAAAGCAGGAGCTCTCCAGGGAAAAGGGACCTTCTCTCCTCCTCCTGGTGTAACCAGCTGGCCCCTGGGCCTGTCCCTCTCCTGCAGGTGGTGGCACAGTCGTCCCCTCGCTGTGACCTGCTCGCCAACCTCCTGCAGAGCGGCTGTGGGCAGGAGCACATCGAGTTCCCCACCAGCAGCACCACCATCCTGGAGAACAGGCCCCTCAGCAACAAGGGCTCAGGCAGCTCCACCACCACCCAGATGAGCCCCCAGAAAATACAGCTGAACCTGCGGCCAGGTAGGAGCCCCCAAAATGCTGTGGGAAGGGGAGATGCCACGGGAATAACCCAAAGGGCTCAAGTGTTGAGGGAGCCATCGCTCTGGCTCACTGGCCAAGGCTGTCCCGTGGCCTTCGGGGGCAAGGCCAGGCTGGGGGCAGCACCTTCTGGGAGCATCCTCCATGGACAGATCTGTGACCTGATTGTGCTGGTCAGTCTCCTGGCTCAATCCCGTGGTATCCCGAGGGGCAGGATGGGATGGGATGTGACTTCAGCAACACATGGGCTTATTTCATAAAGCCTTCTAGACCTCGGCCACCACTGCTGCATCCTGAATGCCTTGGTGGAAGGCGGCTCATGTCTAATGAGCTGCAGAGCTGGGCTGACAGCAGGTCCCTGGAATTTCCCAGGCTCACCTCAGCCAGAGAGCTGGAGCCAATTAACTGCTCTGGTCTCTTGCCAGCACTGGGGAATTTCAAGGCATGCCAAGCAGGAGGCAAAACTAACAAGAGTCGCTCACCCGAGGTCACAAAACCAGTTTTGGGGATGGAGAGTGAGCGGTGCCATCACCCTGCTCTGCCCCACAGGTAGCCCACCCCTGGCCATCCATGGGTGACTCTTCCAGTTTCTGCAGGAACAAGTTTGGTTCCTTGTGCTCTTGAAGGCCCTGGGGGCAGATATCAGTGGCTGATGGCACGTGGCGTGCTGTGCAGAGCCCTGGGCCTGGCCAGGAGGAGTCCTGACCCAGCTGATGACAGCACAAAGTGTCCCCACAAAATGGGGACATGTAGCTGCTAAGTGGCCCTGGCTCTGTTTAAGACCAAAGGTTCTTGGCAGGAGGGAGGGAGGCGTGCTGCTCTGGAGAAGAACACAAGCTGTGTGCAGTGCCCCAGGTCCCAGTTCCTTGGCAGCAGTAGACAAAAACCCCAGCTCACCATCATCTCTGCTCAACTAAGGTTTAGCACGAGTCATCTGCCTTGACTCATGAATGGAGACCAAATGCTGACGGACCAAACACGTAGGACAGGTCCCAACCCGTGGCCTACAAGCTCAGAGTCCTCATGGGTTTAGCTCAACAAGGAGAAACAGATGTTCTCCAAGCACAAAGCTGGGACCCACGACTCCGTGGTGGTGCTGCAGCAATGCAGCTGGAGGGGGGATGAAGCACTTTGGGCTCCTGTAGACTCTGAAACTTTCTCCACCCTGAAAGTCAGAATGGGATGTGCAGATTTAGAAGGAAATATGAAAACAATAACAATTTAAACTCAATTAAAGCTTTATTCCTCAACATCTGAGGTGTTCTGAGTAGGCTGCAGCTGTGCCCCAGCTTATGTTTCAAAGAACAAAAGAAAGAACCTTTGTCTCTTTTAAAAGGCTGAAAGAAAAGGTCAACCCAAAGCAGTTTCAGCTTTTTTGTTATTATTATTGCTAAAGTCATCAAAACTGGTTGGTTCAGTCTAAGGAGGTTTTTGTTTCAATGGAAAATGTTTCACCAAAAATTTCCTAGAAGGGGCTGGGAGGAGCCAAGAGCAGAGAGAAGGAACAGGGATGAGAGAGGCCCTGGGTGATATTCTCAGCCCTGAGGAGTTCAGAGAAGTTCAAAGGAGTCATAGAATCATAGAATGTGTGGGCTGGCAGGGACCTCTAAAGGTCATCTACTCCAACCCCCCCACCATAAGCAGGGACATTTCAAACTGGATCTCCATGCAGCCCTCTGAGAGTCCCTGTAAGACCTGCTGCCCACACGCTGGGTGTTCCACCCCATTCAGCACGTGGTGGCCATGTTGTTCATGCAGGACAGCATGAGGGGTCAGCTCTGAGCAGGAGGATCTGCTCATGCCCTGCTAACGAGAGGTCTGGAAAAGAGGAGCCATAACCCCATTGGTGCACAGCATGCTTCCTGTGCAAGCATCCCACCCCATGGGCTTTGCCCCTTCGTGTCCAACTGATGTTCTCCTGCCTGCAGCTTTAAACCATCTCCTTGGGTTGCTGCTGACCCCATAGGTTGACTTTCTCCCCAGTCCTGTGGTGAGCCCCCTTTGCTCCTCCCAGGAGAGGACCTCTCACTCCGCTGCCCTGTCACGTTACAGATGACTCCCAGACCTTTCGTGTCCAAGTGCGTCAAGTGGAAGACTACCCCGTGGACATCTACTACCTGATGGACTTGTCCAACTCCATGAAGGACGACCTGAGGAACATCCAGAACCTGGGCACGAATCTGGCCAACGAGATGCGCAAGCTCACCAGCAACCTACGCATCGGGTTTGGGGCCTTTGTGGACAAGCCCATCTCCCCCTACATGTACATCTCCCCTCCAGAAGCCATCAGGAACCCTTGCTATGAGTAAGTCCCAGGCTGAGGGAATCTGTCTGGGGTGAGAAGTTAATGGGACATCCCTGGAACGTGGCTGGAAATCCATCCCAACGGTGTTCCGCAGGGAGCTGGGTGCTTGGTTTTGGGCAGGGTTTAAAGCTTGCTGCACTGTGTGCTCTGCTGGTACAGGGCTAGACTAGAAGTACCAGTGACCAAAAAGCTCTTAAGGATACACCAAGCTGCCCATCATTTTTTGGGGAGAGACGTTGAGGCTTAAAGAAAGCGACTCCTAAAAACCCCAGCAGGACAGAGGCTGGGAGCTGACCCACGCCCAGCACCTCTAGAACGTGTGGCTGATTTTCAGAAGGTCCTTCCCCAGCCTCCAGCTGTTCCCTCAGGTTCTTGGGGTGGTGGGGTCCCTCCTGGCCAGGCCCACGGGAGGCGGTAGAACCTCGTGAGCCTCGTGCCCCAGCTGCTCCCCTCCCGCAGGATCGGGGACACCTGCCTGCCCATGTTTGGCTACAAGCACGTGCTGTCGCTGACGGAGGAGGTGACCCGCTTCAACGAGGAGGTGCAGAAGCAGAGCGTCTCCCGCAACCGCGACGCGCCCGAGGGCGGCTTCGACGCCATCATCCAGGCCACAGTCTGTGATGTAAGGGGCGAGGAAGCCTGGCTGGGCCTGGCAGAGGGGCAGCAGGGGCAGCAGAGACCACCGGGACAGGAGCGTAAGGCGTTGGAGCCGCCGCGGGGCTCGGATCTGGGGAGGGTTGAACGTTCAGCTGGGACATTTCTAGAGTGATAGGGAAGGGAAGGGAAGAGCAGGAGACTTCTGTGGTCCTGGGAGGAGAGAGGAGCAGAGCAGGTCCTTGGGAACTGATCCCAGCACGGTGGGGGTTGGAAGGGACCTCTGGAGAGCATCTCACCCAGCCCCCCTGCTCCAGCAGGTCACTCACAGCAGGGTGCCCAGGATCACAGCCAGGCAGGTTTGAATGTCTTCAGAGTAGGAAACTCCAGAACCAACTGGTGATGATCCCATGTCAGTCCTGCAGTAACTAACCCAGCGGGGACACCTCCTGTGCTTGCACCTTGATGTTGCTGGAAACGGCAGGGGCTGCATCCCTCAGTCATTAGCCACCTTGATTAACACTCTAGCAAATTAGAACCCACCTTTCACGTGTACAAGCAGCTCATGCCCCCCTACCAGGCTCCACAGCACCTCCTTGGGATGGTAATGGTTGCACCCCATGGCCAAGCCCTGGTGGCAGCAAGGCGCTGGCATGTTGGGCTGCCCTGGGACTGGGAGCTGCCTCTTCCTGCAGGAGAAGATCGGCTGGAGGAACGATGCTTCCCACCTGCTGGTCTTCACCACGGATGCCAAGACCCACATGGCTCTGGACGGCAGGCTGGCTGGCATCGTGCAGCCCAACGACGCCCAGTGCCACATCGATGAGGACAACTTCTACTCTGCCTCCACCACGCTGGTAAACCCTGGGGCTGGGGTGCTCAGAGCTCCTCTGGAGGGTCCCTATGGAATGGAAAAGCTGGTCCAGCCCTGGTTGGAGGGCGTGATGGGGACCAGGGTGGTTGGGGGTTCATGTTTGTAGGGTATAGCCTCTACTCTTCTTCAGGACTATCCCTCTCTGGGCCTTATGACTGAGAAACTCTCGGAGAAGAACATCAACTTGATCTTTGCTGTGACAAATCAAGTTGTTGGCCTCTACCAGGTAACAGCTGCTGTGCAAAGGCATCTTCTTGAGGGGCCGGTGGGTCATGAGGAGCACCCTTGGCAGCTGGGCACAAAGTGCCACACACAC